CCTTCTCCTTTTCTCCTCTCCTCCTCCCTTCTTTTCCTCCTCTCTTCCTCCCCTCCTCCTTGCCCTCCCCCTGCGTCCCCTTCTCGTTTTTCTCCTCCCTCCGGTCTCGGCCTCCCTCCCAGACCTGGTAAGTTTTTTACAACCTTGCTGCTTCTCCTCTTTCTGAGTCTCCGCGGGCCGAAGATGGGCCCGGCAGAAGACAATGCATGCTGCACAGCCAGCCCCAGGGGAGGGGGTCGCGAGTCCCTTTGGCCCACATATTGACCAATTCAGGAGTACATAAGGTCTGGGTCTCGGGGCAGGACCGTGTGCAGCACCACCACCCGTCCGCAGCCTCATGTTTGGACCAGATTTTTGGAGGGGCATCGGCTCTCAGGGCCGGGCGGCCACATCCACCAAGATCTTGGGCCAAATAGGATATTTGGAGACCTGGTGGTAATCGACACTTTCCCTTTATTTTTTTCCGTCTGGACTTTTTCTTTCTTTGTTCCTCCTTCCTCATACCCTCCTCCTTCCTCCCTCCTCCTTCCTCCCTCTTTCCTCCTTCCTCCCTCCTTAATCGTCCGAACTCCCTCTTCCTTTCTTCCTCCTTCCTCTCTCCTTCCTCACTCCCCTGTGCTCCGTGCCCCGAGATTCGCGCTTTCGCCCCTTTCCCCCTTGGCCCCCCTCCTTTCATCATTGCGGCAGCCAGGGGAGAGCGTGGAGGGCGGGCGGTGCATGTGGGCTGGAGACAGAAAGAGAGAGAGAGAGAGAGAGTGCGTGAACTATATTTACATCTATATTTATATATTTAGAGAGAGAGAGAGAGAGAGAGGGAGAGAGAGAGAGAGAGAGAGACAGAGAGAGACAGGGAGAAAGAGAGAGAGAGAGAGAGAGAGAGAGAAAAAAAAAAACGAGAGAGAGAGAGAGAGAGGTAGCACACCGATGAGGGCGGGTCGAGCTCCGTCCGGGCACGCGAGGTGTTAGCGCCCGCTGCGCCCGCCTCGTTAGGCGGGAGGTGCCGCATGTGAATGGCAGGGGTGGCGATCGTCCCCCTGGCGCGCTCGAAAAGGACAGGGATATCTGTGGCAACGCCCGAGGCCAGCTGGCGGGCCTCCTCGAGGCACTGGACGCAGACCGCGCATCCAGGAACGTGCTGGTCAGCAGGGCCGAAAAGCAGCTGCGCGCGCAGGAGTCATCCTCCCCTTGCACGTGCATCCGGCCTCATCGTGCCGTGGATTGGATTTGAGCGTCGAGCGGGAGCGCCCTCTCTCCGGGGGCGGGTCCGCGGGGGACACGCCGCGCCCAAAGAGGCGGCGACAGCACGGCCATTCCGAGGGCGGGTTGTCTTGACCGGATTCTGGCCTCCTGCCGGTGCCTCCTCTCACGGTGATGCTGGGTGCGGGTGCGGGCTGCGCCGCGAGGGCGGCATCGATGCGAGTTCTTCCCAGCGGGTCCTTCCTTCCTGCATGCGTATCCTGGGCCCCCGAGGCGTACATACCTAACGATCCTCGGCCCACTGTTGGGCCTGGGACGCCTTTGGCAACGCCCGGCTCGCTCCTTGGCCGCCAGAGTGACCGCCCGGGTGTGCGCCGCCGTGCGGAGGTCTCCCCGCACCAGGTGCCGATGGCGTGTGAGAATCGGGCGACCAGGAGCGGCGGCGAGGAGGAGGAGGAGGAGGAGGAGGAGGAGGAGGAGGAGGAGGAGGGGAGGGGGAGGGGGAGGAGGAGGAGGAGAAGGAGAGAGGAGGAGGAGGGAGAGGCGGGAGGAGGAGGAGGAGGAGGAGGAGGGGAGGAGGAGGAGGAGGAGGGGGAGGAGTAGGGGAGGAGGCGGAGGAGGAGGAGGAGGGGGAGGAGGGGAGGAGGAGGAAGAGGAGAGAGGACAGGGGGTGGAGGAGGGGCGGGGAGGACGGGCTGATGACGATGCGAGAAGGAAGAGGGGGAGGGACGATGCGGGGCGAAGGGATGGAGGAGGAGGAGGAGGAGGAAGAGGAGGAGGAGAGGAAAGGAGGAGGAGGAGGAGGAGGGGGAAAACAAAAAGGAGAGGAAAGGAAATATTGAAAGAGGGATGATATCGAGGAGCACAAGGACCAACAGGATAAACGTTTGAAGGATGAGGAGGAGCAGGAGGAGCATGACGATCCGGAGAGAAGGTGGCAGGTAAGAAGGCCTGGATGGAGGAGAAGGAATAGTAGGAGTAGCATCGGCAACAGCAGCCATGGGCGTAGGAGGGGGGATGCCCGAAGAGGGTGGTGTGCGGTAATGTCGGGTAAAGAGGTGTAGGAGTGCGAGGAAGAGCAGACTGTGGCGAGAGAAGAGGGTGAAAGAGGAGGAGGAGGAGGATAAGTAGAGGGAAGAGGGAGCATGAAACGATGATGATGGTGGTGATGCGGATACTGATGATGCTGATGATGATGCTGATGATGATGATGCTGATGATGCTGCTGCTGATGATGATGCTGATCTTGATGATGATGATGATGCTGATGATGCTGATGAGGCTGCTGCTAATGATGATGATGAGGATAGTGGAAATGGTCGTGATGATGCTGATGATGATGCTGATGATGGTGGTGGTGGTTATGATGGTAATTATGGTGGTGGTGGGTGTGGTGGTGGTCCTGGTTGTGGTGGTGGTCGTGGTTGTGTTTATGGTGCTGCTGCTGATGATGATGATGAGGATGAGGATGGGGTTCATGATGCGGATGAGGATGAGGATGATGCTGATGCAGATGATGCTGATGATGCTGCTGCTGATGATGATGATGCGGATGCTGCTGCTGATGCTGATTATGAACATGATGGTGGTGGTGATCGTCATGGTAGTGATGGTGATGATGATGGTGGTGTGGTGATGATGATGATGATGATGATGATGATGATGCTGCTGCTGATCATGCTGCTGTTGTTGATGATGATGATGGTGACGCTGATAAGGATTCTGATGAGGATGAAGATGAATATGAGGATGAGGACGATGATGAAGATGAAGATGATGATAATGATCCTGATGATGCTGCTGCTGATGATGACTATGATGATGACGGTGATGGTGATGACCATGGTGATGATGATGATGATGATGATGATGATGATGATGATGATGATGATGATGATGATGATGATGATGATGATGATGATGAGGATGACGATGACGATGATGATGCTGATGATGATGCTGATGCTGATGCTGGTGCTGGTGCTGCTGCTGCTGATGATGATGATCATGGTGATGATGATGAGGCTGATGATGGTGGTGGTGATGATGTTGTTGATGATGATGATGATGATGATGATGATGATGATGATGATGATGATGATGATGCTGCTGCTGCTGCTGCTGATGATGATGATGATGATGATGATGATGATGATGATGATGATGATGATGATGATGATGATGATGATGGTGGTGTTCACATTCCCCCCTCCCCCTCCCTGCAAAAATCGTCCCTGGACCCTTGCGGGGGTGCGCTGGTTGGCCAGGACCCCGAGGAGCATCCAGAGCGCAGTGGCGACCCAGACGCCCCCCCCCCGCAGAGCCCCGACGCGGGCGACGAGCGCTCCCAGGCGTCGATCTTCGGACATCGAGGCCCAAACTCAGACATGCTCGCGTCGTGACCAAAGTCAAGACTAGCGTTTTTGGGCCGTTTTGGTTTCCAGGGGGCCCTCGCCGGGCTCGGGGACCGTTATGACAACGGCTAGGTATGCAAAAATTGGCCTTGGGGAAAAAGTCGGGACTTCTGGGGTCCCGTATTGAAAAAACAAGGCATCGCAAGTGTGGGGACATCCGATGTTTGATTTTTGGCAGAGCGGGGTAGTTGCCAGTCCCGCCGTGAGATGGGGCTAGCACGAGGATAAGTCTGTTCTGGAGCATTCCAGAACGCGCTCAGAGCGTCCTGGAACGCTCTCTAAGCAGGCCGCGGCTCCCGAGACATCCGCCAGAGCCGCCGGCTCTCGGAGATAGTCGATGGATCTTCACCCGATCTTCTCCTCGTCCTGGCCTCGTCTTGGCCCAGGCAGGGCCGCCTGCGATCCGATTCGATGCGATTCGATTCGCTGGCTGGGGCCGCGATTCCAATTCGATGCGATCCGGCTCTACTCACCAGCATCGGCCAGGGCCAGCTGGAAGTGGGGCGCGGCGATTCGATACCGATCCGATTCGGGACAATTCGCTGGCGATTCGATCCGCTCTCGACCCAATCCGATTTCGCGATCCGATCCAGAGCAGACCTGCCAGGAGGTCGACCCTGCTGTCCGACCAGGCCGCCATCCGCGCGCAGCAGGACGCGGCGCTGCTGGTGCAGCAGCGGCGCTCCGTGCGGCAGTCGTGAGGGCGAGGGGCGCCCTGCCCACCGTCCCGGCCCCGCGGGCGCCGCGCGTACGGGGGAGTGAGGAGAACGGCGGAAGAGGGAGGGAGGGAGGGAGGGAGGGAGGGATGAGAGAGTGGGAGGGAGGGAGGGAGAGAGCGAGGGATGAGGAGGAGGAGGAGGAGGAGGAGGAGGAGGAGGAGGAGGGAGAGGCGGGAGGGATGGGAGGGAGGGAGGGAGGAGAGGAAGGGAGGAGGGAAGGAGGGAGGGGATGGAGGAGGAGGAGGAGGAGGAGGAGGCAGGGAGGGGGGAGGGATGGAGGAAGGGAGGAGGAGGGAGAAGGAAGGAGGAGAAAAGATGAGGAAAGAAGAGGAGGATGAGAAGGAAGGAGCAGAAGGGAGGGAGGAGGAGGGAGGAGGAATAAGGACGGCAGAGGAGGTTGTCTTTGCGGACGGGCCGGAAGCCAGGCGATCCATGATCTCAGCCAGAGTCAGTGGCTTCCGATTCCGACTCGCCACTGAGCAAGGCTGCTGGGCTCTGGTAGTTGTCGCCCCCCGAGCCTTCACTCGGAGGGGGGAGAACGAAGGAGGAAGCAGGGATGGAGGAGGGCGGAGGGAAGGAGGGAAGGAGGGACAAGGTTGAGGGCCAGTAAATGCGATTCTGCCTCGCTCGTCCCTCTCCAAGAGGAGTGGCAGGCGGCGCCACGCTCGCAAGAGGGATGGACGAGGGGGGGAGGATGAGGAGGAGGAGGAGGAGGAGGAGGAGGAGGAGGAGGAGGAGGAGGAGGAGGAGGAGGAGGAGGAGGAGGAGGAGGAGGACGGTGAGGGAGGGCATGTTCAAGTGCGGGGGGAGCTTGTTATGAGTTTTTTTTGATGGATGGGGTGCTACTCTTGGGGTACTCTGGGGGACTTCTCGCCACGTCTCGATCAGCCTCGAAATTCTGGTCAAAGCGCACACCCGGAGGAGGTTCGGGTCTGGCAGGGACGATGCAGCCAAAGAACTCTCGGGCGGAGCTTGCGCAGTTGTTTGCCGTGCCTGGCTCCAGCTCGCCAAGAACTTTCGGTTCGGGCCTCGACGGCCACAGAGCGCGTACGAGATACATGCTCGCATGCGCCCCTGTCTTCAGGAGGAGACACTCAAGCACTGAGTGCTGCGTCTCCTTCGCATCTCACGCTGACGATTGGAACGTTTGTGGCGTGATTCCTTTTCTGCTATCTTGGCCTCTTCTCTCCTTCTCTCTCCCAAGCCAAGAATCAAACGTGCCCCCTGTGTTAGGATGGCGGAGGCCTGAGGGCGGTGGACCTTCTCCCTGTCGCTCTGGGGGCGGTCCCGGCGTTGAGCGGCAGGAGCCAGGCCGCGGGCCTTCGAGATCGGAGGGCAAGCCTTGCAGAGAGCACGGTCGGCTCGCGTCGTGTCGACCGGCGGTCAACGTTGAACGCCGCCGGCGACCGATTCGATGTTCAACGTTGGATCGGTCGAGGTTGGAAGACATGACGTTTTGAGAGCGGCCGATCGTTCAAGGCTGAGCGATCCCCGCGGTGTCAGAAGCCAACGCCGGGGTCGACACGACACGAACCCGCCGTGCAGGGAGGGAGGGCGGGGGAGTGACGATCAGGAGCGTTTGCTCAGCGCGTGTCCCGCCGACGGTTCGGCGGCGGGAGCAGACACGGGGGCGGCTCCGCCAGCGGAAGCTGGTGGAGAGCCGGCGGAAGCCCGCGGAAATGAAGATCGCAGCACAAGAGATGGCCATTTTATTGGTCGTAGGGTTTCCGGAGTCGATCAGATGGCAGCAAATCAAATCAATGGCCAAGGTGGAGCAACAGGGACCGCGACTGGTGGGAGTTGCGGTTGGAGGCAGGAGGACCGCGGTCAGACTGTTGGCGGCGTTGCGCTTTTCCCTGTCTGTGTAAGTAGTGTGTTGCGTACTGTATTTTCCTGTTTGTCTACGCAGCGAGTCCCTGCACTTCTTGCTGCACGGGCTCTTTTACGCTGCGCGCGCCCGTTTCACCCGTGTGACCTCCTGTTGAAGAGGCTTTTTTTATCATCTGGCGAGGACGGGCGCGACTTGGGGAGGGGGGAAGGAGGAGGGGCTGGTAACGTTACGATTCGCGCCGACGCCGTATGGGACTTCTTGGGAATGGCTAATTCCCAGACGGAGCCGGCGCGAATCATGACGTGACCAGGAGGAGGAGGAGGAGAGGCGGGGTCATCACAAACGTCATCGCGAATGGTTTGAAACCGTGCTCGTGGCCTCCTGTGCAAAGTGGGGAGGGTCTGAGGTGGCCCAGCGTAGGTTCCGGCCAGCAGGAATGGCGGGCAGGTTCGAGGTTTTGGGTTCGGGAAGGTTTCTTGCCTTCTTCGGCCTCGGGGCCGTTTTCGGGCCCTGGGACCGTCAGGCACGGATCCGCGGTGAAACACTGCACCATCTGGACTTTGGTAGGGGTCTGGGGACCGCTTTGGAGCGGACCGCGCCTCGTCCCCCCTTCTGATGGCTTCCCTGGGGTGCCAGCGCGTTCCGGCCCCCTGGCCGCCTTCAACAGCGAGGCGCTCCACGACGGTGCCGGATGGCCCCCCCCGGGGAGGGGGTGCCCCCGGCGGCCCAGCAGCGCAGGGGGACCCCCGCCGCCGCGGCTGCCGCCGCGCACCCCCGGCCCTGCAGGCGGATCCGGGCCCCGGGATTGGAAGAGCAGGGGCCACGTTCGGGGCGGACGGGCTCGACCGCTTTCGCTTCGAGGTCTTTGCGCGCTGTCGTCGGTCCTCGCCGGCTTCCCAGCCTCGGGGTGCGTTCCCAGCGGCTGCGCCTCGCCGAGATCGTTCCAGGGGTGCTCAGATCGTTCCGGGCGGCTGCTGGAGGCCCGAGTTATGGCCTGAACATTACCATGGGCAACGTTGGGGGGGGATGGGATCAGGGAGGGACGTATCGACCTCCAATCGCCCACTGCTCGCCGACTGGGGGGGCCCGATAGCCCACCCCGCCCAGGAACGTGCAGTTTCGCCATCTGGGGCCTATCGCCGATCTATCGGCGATGTATCGCCGATTCCAGGTCGATGCTTCTCTTCCTGTGCCGGTCCCCCCGTAACGTTCCCTCTCGTTCTCCTCCGCCGACGACGACGAGCCGTCACCGCCGACGACGACGAGCCGCCGCCGCCGACTACGACGACGATGAAGACGACGACGACGACGAGGACGACGACGACGACGACGATGATGCTTCCCTCCCTGTGCCGCTGCCCCCCCATCGCTGCCCCTCAGAAGATTCCAGCGGGCGTGACACGAGTTTCATGGAGAGTGCCTTGACCCCAGCGGCTGCAGCTTTCTCGGGCGCGCCTGCGCAGCATCCCCTCTGCCTTCCAGCGCATCATCCCCTCGGCTTTCTCTTCAGGAGGGGAAAGCGACACAGACGCGAATAACCGCAGATTCCCAGTAGCGGATGGGAAAATATGGGAAGTGGAGGGGAAGACCATCCAGAAATATGTAAAATATTAGGATTCCTTGGATTTGTGCGTCCCTGGGCCCCTATCCATATCTTCCTCCTTGTGGGAAAATGGAAGAAGTTTTCGTGGGCGCGCAAATCTCCTGGTTTACCAACATTCGAGGCTCCCAGGATGGGGTCGGGGTAAATGGCGTCGGAGGACCGCGCCGCATCGCCGATACATCGGCCATGCGCCATGCGGCTCGATGCGGAGCCCGATTCTCCCCATGCCGACGTCGCCGATGCACCGCCGATGCATCGGCGATGCATCGGCGATGCGGTGCGATCCTCTGACCCCGTCGTTTCGGGTGTTGCTGGATATGACCCTTGCCCGAGGTGCCCCCGGCTTTGCGCGCCGTCTTGGGGTCCCTGGGGCCCTCTGGGCCTCGTGAGGGCTTCTCTGGAGGCCGTGGGCCCGTGGGTGCATCCCTGGAGGCAACTTGGGCCAGGGGCAATTCCAGCACCACCCGACGTCCTCTCGCGGATGCCCCGCGTGGACGGTGTCTATTCGACGGCGCGTCCACGGCGCGGGATCCCGCAGTGGGTCAGCGAGAAGCCCGAGGAGGGGGTGGGGGATGATGATGATGATGATGATGATGATGATGATGATGATGATGATGATGATGATGATGATGATGATGATGATGATGATGATGATGCTGATGCTGATGCTGATGCTGATGCTGATGATGATGATGATGATGATGTTGATGATGCTGATGCTGATGCTGAAAATTTTTGTCAACGTTGGCTGATGATGATGATGATGTGATGCTGATGCTGGCGATGATGTGATGCTGAAGATGATGATGCTGCTGATGATGTTGGTGATGATGATGATGATGATGATGGCGATGATGATGATGATGATGATGATGATGATGATGATGATGATGATGATGATGATGATGATGATGATGATGCTGATGATGATGATGATGATGATGATGATGATGATGATTCTGATTATGATTATGATGATGATGCTGATGATGATGATGATGATGAGGAGGAGGAGGAGGAGGAAGAGGAGGAGGAGGAGGCGGAGGATGAGGAGGAGGAGGGAGCGGAGGAGGAGGAGGAAGAGGACGAAGAAGAATAATAATACGCTTAATAACAATAATAATGCTAATGCGACGGACGATACTAATTCCGTTACGGAGCCTCATACTAGTAGTACGAAGAAGAACATCAATGACAAGGATACTATTCATACTACTAATCGTAATAATAATGCGAATGCTAATAGTTCTACTAAGACCCATCAGTATACTAAGAAGACGACTGCGAAGACGAATAACATTATTCATAATACTATTAGTAATACTAAACATAAACATACTACTAATAAAAAGAAAAAATACGAATCAGAAGAACACGAATTATACGAATGCGAATAACAATAATAAACATACTCAACATCATAATACTAATACTAAGACGAATAGTACTATGAATACTAAAACGACGAATAGGATTAATCATAAGAAGAATAATGCGACTGATAAGAAGCATATCAATAATAATGATACGGCTAATCATAATAATAAGAATAAGACTAATACGTAATAGTACCAATAATAACAATGAAAAGAAGAGGAGGAGGAGGAAGAGGA